TATATATATATATATATATATATATATATATATATATATATATATATAATTTATACTTTATTTTAATACGTAAATATACTATTATAAATTTAAACTTGTTCATACGAATTCCGTTTTTGACATTTTTTATGTACACGTGTAGCTATCGACGAGATCTACAACTTTCGTTTAGACTCCGTCGGCTAATTTTGACTTTATTTTTCGTCCATATTTATATAAAATTAAATGCTTTTGCTAAAACCATAATTCTCTCATACGGACTCTGTTTTGGACATTATTTTTCTCAAAATTCATATTTTAAAGAGTACTACGATTTTCTTTTTGTTGGCTTTAGCTAAAAGTCAACCATTATCTTCGTAACTTTTTACGTCACACATTCCTTGTGCACGACTGACTTTTATATTTTATAAAAATCATATTTAATTCATACGGAGTCGGATTTCTACGAGATTTATATTTTCGGGATTGGACGACGTGTACTTTCAAAATATATAATAATATACTCCTTGCGTCCCAAAATTATAGTTTATCTTTCCTTTTTGGTTTGTCCCTAATAATAGTTCACTTTTAAAAATAAATAACATTTTTACCAAAATACCCCTCATTATTACTTAACAAACTAAACATTTAATGGAACAATAAATGCAAAGTAAGGATAAAACTGTCATTTTATTCTATAAAGTTAGGGGTAATTAATGCTTCTTTAATTTGTGTGTTTTTTTGTTTGTGGACAATAATTTTGGGACGGAGGGAGTATATGTTTTGGCGCACTTATTTTTACAATTTACAGGCGATTCGGCTGATTTTTCCTGTTTTATTATATTATAATAATCGTGCAACACATATTTTTCACATAATTCTTATTTATTAGATCAAATACGTTACAACTGTTGACTCTAACTATTACATCATCTTATTAATTCTTAGCGATAAACGCGGACGTTACAATTGGTTACGCTTTCTGTTCCACCGCCATGGCGAGACAGTGTCTTCATCATGAGTGTATGGGGATTCTGGTATATGTGGTTGATTTACGGGTTGAGGGAAAGTAGTCAGTCTTTGATGTTCCGATTATGAGGGAGTTTCTTAATGTTTTCCCTAAGGATTTAGCTGGTGTGCATCCCGAGAGACAGGTGGAGTTTCGGATCGTCCTGATCCCTAGTGTTGCCTCGATTGCGAAGGCACCATATCGCCTTGCGCCACCCGAGATGTAGGAGTTAGCATTTGAGCTCCAAGAGCTATTGGGAAAACAATTTATTAGGCCGAGTAGTTCGTCGTGGGGGGCACTGGTCCTTTTTGTTAGGAAGAATGATGGTTCACACTAGATGTGCATTGATTACCGAGAGCTTAATAAGCTGACGATGAAGAACACATATACATTGTCATGGATTGATGAACTTTTTGATCAATTGTAGGGAGCATCTTGGTTTTCCAAGATCGATTTAAGGTCCGGTTACCATCAGATGAGGGTTCGTGAGGAGGACATTCCTCAGACAGCCTTTCGAACTCGCTATGGTCACTTTGAGATCGTGGTGTTTCCTTTCGAGTTTACCAACACACCGACAACGTTCATGGATCTCATGAACCGGGTGTGTAGGCCTATGCTTAATCGATCGGTGATCATTTTTATCGGTGATATATTGGTCTATTCTAAGACCACGGAGCAACATGATGAGTACCTACATGAGATTCTTCGAGTTCTTAGGGTTGAGAGGTTGTACGCCAAGTTCTCTTAGTGTGAGTTCTAGTTGTGTGGGGTCTAATTCCTAGGGTTCCTCGTTAACCAGGACAATATTTTGGTCGACCCGGCCAAGATCGAGGCGGTTATGCAGTGGGAAGTTACAAAGACTCCATCTGAGATTCAGAGTTTCCTTGGGTTGGTAGGTTGTTACTGGAGATTCATTCGCGACTTCTCTAAGATTGCAGTTCCTCTCACTAGGTTGATGAGGAAGGACATCACTTTTTGTTGGGGTCCTGAGCAGCAGGCGGCGTTCGAGACTCTACGACAGAAACTTTGTGAGGCGCCAGTACTAACCCCCCTTGAGGGAGTCGAGAATTTTGTGGTGTATTGTGACGCATCGATATTGGGTATGGGTACGATTTTGATGCAGAGGGGAACGTGACCGCTTACGCTTCGAGGCAGCTGAAGCATCATGAGACAAATTATCCTACTCATGATCTGGAGTTGGGGGTTGTGGTTTTTGTCTCCATACAAAATAAAATAATAACTTTTTGGGTGGCTATCTCAATTGATACTCAGATCAGATCATACTTTGTGCTGTAATCATAGGTGGTCATACTAAAAAAGACTACCTCATAATGGTGGCAACCATGACGAGAATCAACAACATCCCCATAATAATTGTTGGTGGTGGCGGCGTTATATGAGATTGTTGACCTTATCAAGAAAAATGATGTTCTATGTGAAAATTTCTCAGATGAAGAGGATGATGAACAGTTTGATGACTTAGTATAGGCTACCATATCAAGGTTGAGATCACAAATTTCAATAAGAATCTTGACATTGATGCACTCTCGACTGGTTATACAAGTTCGAGAAGTTCTTCAAAAAAATCATAAACATCATAAAAGACCTCACAAGGGTGGAAACCATAACGACAATCAACAACACCCCCACAATAACTATGGTGGTGGTGGTTGTGCTAGAGGAGGTTGTCGACCCTTATAAAGAAAAGGATATTGTTCTATGTGAACAATTTCTCTGATAAAGAGGACAATGAACATTTTGATGATCAACGTGGTAGATGAGGACATAATTATTATAGAGGTGGCTACATATCAAGGTTAATAAGAATCTTGAAATTGAAGCACTCTCAGCTGGTTATATGAATTCAAGAAATTCTTCGAAATCATGCATGGACATTATATAAGATCCACATGTAAAGATTACCACCTATAAGATCCATAAAGGAAGTGAGAGCTTGGTAGGATCATGCCTAGGAAGAATGATGACGACAAGGAAAGTGTATGATGCTTGAGTGATTCTCAAGTTTCTAGTCAAAGATAGATTATTACCCCTATGACTTAGAGCAAATGTTATTCCAACAGTACCATAACTACAATTAGGAAAGTGGATATGTTTCAGATTTTATGACCGACTTTATATGTCTTCAACACATGCGTTAATTGAACGATATATTCATGATTTTAGAGTAAAACATCCAGTATCGTATGGGACTCCAACCAATTTGGTTAGTTGATCAAGCCCAGAACTTATCCTTAAAGATAAAGAGATTGATGTTGGGATCCTCATACACTCTTCAGAGCTCCATAGGTGAGGCACCCTATTCTAGAAAGTCGGTAATCCCAACCACCAATTTGATCGACCACTTATAACGGAAAATTTGTTTATGCCTTTTTAGATTGAAAACACAATTATAAGATTGGTCATAGGATCCATAGTTTATGTATAAGGGATTTTCTTTATACACATCAACCTACTCTGCACATCAATCTAACCTCTAACCTATTTTTAATGATAATCTACTTTTACAATAGATCGTGTTTTTTTTTTTTGGCTTTTACTTTTACACTTTATTGGAACACTCTATCCTAAATGGAACACTCTAAAAACCAAGTTAAAAAATCGATGAAAACAATGTTAAAAAATTTATAATTTTTTTATATAAAAAAATATTATTGTTATCTTTTTTTATCTTATATAAAAAGAAGTTTAAAATTAATAATATTAATAAAGTTAGTAATAAAAATATAATTATTAATTAATAAAGTCAATAATGATTAGGTTATTATGAAGCTAATGTATAAAAGTTAGTCAAATGATTATAGATGTGATTATCATAGTAATGATTAAAAAAATAAAGGTCTAGAATGGTTTAAATGGTGGTTGGCTAAAAAGACACCCTATTTTTCTATTTAGACACCCTTTAAATGTTGTTGTGCCTTTTTGGAGAAAGGCATATACCTAGTGAGTTTTTTCAAGAAGATAGTAATTCTTCTTTAAATAGTTATGATTTTCTCATTTGATAGTTGATGGAAAGACATGATTTTTTGTTAACTTTTCAATTTTTTCATCATTTCTGTTAATTATTTAAAGAAAATCTATAAATTTAATTAGTCTGCTTAAGTTTTTAACATACATACATGACTTTTTTGTTGAATGTAAAAAAGGACTTCCCTTGGAAATACGAAATCCCAAAACAGTAACATAAAACTAGCTAGGAAGGTTCTAAAGAAATTTTTTTCTCAATCTCAATTTTAAAAGGATGAAAGTTATTGCTAATGCAACTTACACATCCAATTTCAAAGGTTGCATTAAACTTTGCAGTGTTTAATGCATTAAAAAAAATAAAGCTCAATGAAAAGTAAAATCATGATGTCCCAATCCATTTATGATTTGTGATGCCCTTATTCCAAATAAACATATCAAGTTGATTTACTTGATGAGACAAGCATTTACGTATGTATAACATTGCATTCAGACATATTATTATCGACCCAAAGTTGAAAGTTCATATTGAGAAGAAAAATCCCATTAATTCTGACGACACACTGCAAACCGACTCAAAGGAAAATATTTTTACTTAAAGATACATCCTTAAGCCTGTTTCTTCTTCTTCTCATAGTACTGATAGTTTTTCTGGAACTCCAAGATCCCCCAAACCACCTGCCAGAACCCCATCTCTGGCCATAAAGCTTTGGGGGAATACAAGAAACAGTTGGTGGTTTGCCACAACAGAAAGTTGCTTAACCTTGTCTCTCCGGAGCTCCTCACTAGAATATCAGGATCCGGAGCCACTCCCATGTACATATGCTTCTCAAGATCCACCACTTTGATCACCGATTGACCTCCATGATTTATGTCGGTATTCATGTTTCCATTCATTATACGTATGCTATTAGCCTCACTTTTTTCTTGACAAGCTTCGTGGATGGCTCGTGGGATTTCATGGGAAGAAGTGTATGCAACACATACTAGGAGATATGTACGTGAGTTTTTAGCGGTGGCTTCCATGGCCTTCTCAGCAGCAATCCTTACGGGTTCATATAACCTATCGAGATCGCCAATAAACAAGACTCTAACGCCATATTGGTTTATAAGAGTAAGTTCATTTAGAAACCCTTCGATCTTTTCTTGCATCAAGTCCATTACGTATTGGACTTCATCAGGGCGTCGATTGAAATTGTCGAGGCTGAATGCATAGATGGTGACATACTTAACTCCTATCTCGTAGCAGTATTTTAGGACTGCCATGAGTGCGAAAAATCCGGCTTTGTGACCAGCACCCTCCGTGAGCTTCCATTTCTTGGCAAACCTTCGGTTTCCGTCGAGGATGAAGGCGATGTGTTCTGGAATCGGGCGTGAAGAAATGACACGAAATATGAGTTTTCTTAAGGTGTGGTTTACGCCTCCTAGGAACTTGCTGATCGTACCATTTGATCTTTCGTCTTCCACTTGTTTCCTGTCAATAACAAGTTAAAATTGCACTTGGATTAATTCCAATGTAGATCTAAACCAATAGGAACGACATAAAATTATATAAGGCTTTGAATTTTCTAAGAAAGAAAAATATTCTAATGAAAATTTGAAATTTCCAAGTATAATATGATCATAAAAGTCATGGACGTACTCATTGTGTCTGAACTTTAGTTCATTTGAAAATATGGAAACTCGAGTATCTTCGATGCAGTTAAAGTACCAATTCGCAAATTGTTAGATGATAATCAATTTAAACATAAATCTAGAAATTTGTAGTCTTAAATGTACTGATTTCCAACTATTAGTAGCTTTTATCTAGCTCTTCTCTAAGGGTGGTGGTCGGTTGGTATCATCCCTACCATATATCCAATACCATCAGGGCGGTGTTCCTATATCTCCCACCTCCCATCCCCCATTTTTCCTCCATTGAGTCTTTTACCTTTTTTGAGTCAACTTTGAATAGAGAACACCATTCTCCGGTAGCTTCCTTTTGTGATGTACCAAGTAGATGGAACAGTGTTCCCGTCGGTACCAAGGAGTCATATGAGCCCACTTGTCTTTTGTCTCGAGCTCTTCCTGAGCTATGCCCACCACCCTTTGGTGGTTGTTTTAATTATTTTGGTGTTGTTTTAAAATTTTACCTAATAAATGTCAAATTGATTGTTGTTCATTAATTCCTTTAATTCTATCCGATTGAAAAGGTAATTTTGGATATTCATTAACTATATCAGTTGCAAGTGATCACCAACCTAGCAGGTTGTGATGCATCCTGAGTTATAGGCCTCAATGGGTAAGCTCAAGAGTTTGACTCTTGGCTGAGCACATTTGGGGGATTTTTTCTGGATTGACGCGGGTTCGATTCTTCGTTCCCTCTGGTGGTGAGTGGTGCCCCTCTTGGTGGCCCGCGAGGCATTCCTGATCCATCGGGTCGGGTTACCCTCTATCTATTTGCCGGTTCTAAAAAAATTAACTATATCACTTTTATAGAATAATAATAAAGTTTAAAAGCTATTTAGAAGTCACTCGTCACAAAGTAATCAAATCTACAAAAAATGGCATATGAAGACATTTTTGGATATGGGTCCTATATATAAATTAGGGTTTTGTTACAAAAACTTATGATAATTTCTTTTCACTTTTTATGGACAGAAAGGTGATGTATTCAAATATTTATCTTGTTTTAGTAAGATACTACCTTCCCTTGTATATGTAATTAATAAATAATTTAACATATGTCCTTTTTAAACAGCAAAATATCATATTCGTTCAACTTAATCTTTTAATATCATATTTACCCTTTATAAAACTTCAAAATATCATATTTATTCAAATCATTTTTTAAATGTTTTAATAGTTTATAATCATTTTTTATATCTTAGAATTATTATAATAATTGAAAATTTTAACTATATTATCCCTACGTCTATAATAATGGAACAATTATTTCTAAATTGTTGGAATGTCGCTCTCTTGACAAACAAAATGTTTCATCTTCAGACATTTTCATTAAATGTATGCATTAATTACTTAGTTTTTATTATTGTTAAATATTATCATTGATATTTTGATATTTAAGAATGACATATATGATATTTTGATTTTTTAGAAGATTATATATATATATATATATATATA